GCTGGGGTTCGTTTTTTAATTACAGGAGCAACACAGCTCACTGTCTTAGAGACTTTTCTCATCTCAGCACCTGGTTGAAGGCAGAGTTCATGGGGCAGGAGCCGCAGCCAGCCCTCCTCCCCTCATGGAGACGGGAAACTGGACCAGAAGCAGGGGAAGGATGGAACTTCAGGGGCCACCCTAGGGGTTCCACCTATGACAGCCTTCCCACTAACCCCACCACCTGGACCCAGTATGTAGAGCCGTGAGCCACTGGGGTCCCTTCACACTCAGACCAGTGAGGGAGGTGACACCTCTGTCCCACCTGCCTCAGGGAATCAGTTTGGCCTCATTCTTCAGTTCCCATTTTTTGAAGGTGCTGTGGGACAATGGTCTGTACCCTGTCACTTGTGTTTTAAATAAACGCTGATTGGCCAGTAGCTAGGCAGGAAGAAGAGGCGGGGCAACGAGAAATCTGGGAAGAGGGAAGTTTGAGTCTGCAGTCATCACCCAGACAGAGAGGAAGCAAGATGTGACTGCCTCACCAAAAAAGGTACCAAGCCACGTGGCTAACACAGACAAGAATTATGGGCTAATATAAGTTATAAGAGTTAATAAGAAGCCCGAGCTAATAGGCCAATCAGTTTATGATTAATGTAAACCTCTGTGTGTTTCTTTGGGACTAAACGGCTGCAGGACTGGGCAGGACAGAAACCTCTATCAACATGAAGGATTTTATGCAGACACATGAAAATAGATATATACAGCCACTGAGTGTTCTTCTTTTACCAAAACATGTTCACAATGAACACAGAGTCAGTCTTTCCCTTCCTCCTTTATGGACACCTAAGGAGCAACCCCAGGTCAATGCCTGACTACTCCCAGGACCCCACGCCATTAGCCCTGGCAGTAACAACACCACTGGACACCCTGGGGCGTGGACCCTCAACCACTCACATTCATAGTGCCCGAATATCAAATGTAAAACCAAGGTGATGGAGCATTTACTGTCAGAGACATTTTCCAGCTGCAGTAACTAGAATTTCAACAAGCAGTCATCAAGAGTGATTTGTAATTCCCTCTTCTGTTGATATAGAGCAGCCTCTCTCTTCTGAGTTCTCTATCACAGCCAAGAACCACTGGACATAGCAGTAATATCAATTTTAAAAAATTGAAACAAGTCCAATTAGACTCCAAAGAGTAAACAGGAGGCGGGCTGCCTGAAGAACGGGGGTGGGGAAGACGGGGACATGAGAGGAACAGGGCAGCCATGCGTCGCCTTCATTTCCTTAGCTCCTCAGTTCCCCAAGCCTCCATCCCAGAACAGTCGCAATGAGTCTTCCTGCACCCCAGGTAAAAAGATCGCTAGCAGATCAAATGGAAGCCACACAGGACCTCTCCCTCTCCTGCACAGTTTTAGTGGCAATAGGAGTTGGCCTCTCACTGCAGTACCTGCCCCAAGTCCCCATCTTCCCCCTGAAAGGAGGAAGCTGACAACAGCAGCCCAGTTCTCCGGGACAGAAGGGAGTCATGAGTCATGGGCTGACCCTCCCCTTCCTACCCAGCAAAGCTGGACCACTCCCAAGGCTTCCCGGCAGCAGCAGTACCAGTGCCTGACCAAGAGTTACCTTCCATTCCCAAGACAATGGCCCAATTTCCACAGAAGTGTCAGAGGTCCGGCAAACAGCACCCCCTTCTCTGCACCCCAGTCCTACTAATGCAGAATAAAGAGAGACTTCAATCTCCCGGGGAGCAAAGCATGCAGAACATCTTAAATCCACCCAGAGAAGTGAAGAGCTGGAAACCCTAACACGACCCAGCTGGACGTGAGCAGACAGCAGCACAAGTCCCATGCTGGGAGGATCGAGCAAGCAACAGACACCATTTTAAAAAGCTCCTATATAATGGGGTGAGCAAGCAAAGGCGGCTGCTGCCCATGCTTGATGACCACATTCCATCCTCAGGACTCAGAAGGTAAAGGAGGGAACGGGCACCCAGAAAGTGTCCTCCGGCCTCCACATGTATGCTTGGGCATGCATGACCCCAACCCTCAAAAAATTTCCAAAAAGCACTGAAATTCTCTTAAATCTAATGAAAGAATTTAAACTCTTAAATAAAAAGTTAATAAAAATGAACCAAGTGAAAATGCAGAAACGTCTCTAGATGGGCTCAACAGTGTAGAGAAGAGAAGGTCGTGCCCGGGGATTTGAGAAGACAGCATTTGGAATTATAAAGCCTAGAACCCAGAGGGAACAAAAGACAGAGGACCTGGTAACAACAGGACAATCCACTGACACCTTACACATGTGTCATCAGAGTCTCCAGAGGGGAGCTGAGGGCAAGAGGGCTTGAAAAGGGATTTTTAAAAGTCATGGCTGAAAATCAAATTCACTCCAAAGATATAAATCTACAGATTCAAGAAACATTCCCCAAAGATTTTATATAAAACTTCTGAACTTTGATGGAAAAAAAGTATCTTTGAACGGTAGAGAGAAAGGCCACACCATGTAGAAAGGAATGTCAGCCACCACGACTGACCTGAGACCACAACAGCTGGCAGCCTGAGGAAGGGGGCGTGTCCAAAGAGTCAACAACTCAGGTCAGGCGGGCAATGGAAGCAGCTTCAGTAACGGGAGGAGGCCCCTCCCACAGGGAGGCCCCTCCCACAGCAAATGTAACCTGTCTTTGTCGTGTGTGTGTGTGTGTGTGTGTGTGTGTGTGTGCGCACATGCACACATATATATCTATGTATGACTGTGTCTGTGGTGTCTGTGTGTATACCTGTGGGTTTGTGTGCATGTGTCCCCATGTCAATGGAGGCCAGAGATCAAGCTTCGGTATTGTTCCTCTAAAACCATCCTGCCCAATTCTTGAGACAAGGACAGTGGTTGGGGATCCAATCTCCAGGGACATTTCGCAGTCCTGCCTTCAGAGCGCCTGATACCCCAATTCCAGCCTTTCCCAGACTTCTGTCTTAGTCTGTCTCTTCCCTTGTAGACGGTGAGACACCTTGGCTGTTTCTCCCTCCTGAGTGAGTGAGCTATTGACCAGCTTCCCAGCATTCAAAGCACAGCTGGAGGTAACAAGTCCACCTGGCCACCATCTTCCACTCTGCTTCTGTCCCCCACGCCACTGGTCTTTCTAACCTTGTCCCAGGTCAAGCAAGCACCACAGAGAATGCCAGCACCTGAAGAAGCCTGCTCCAACTTCCTGAGTTAAAACTCATCTGTCGGGGCTGGAGAGATGGCTCAGAGGTTAAGAGCACTGACTGCTCTTCCTGAGGTCCTGGGTTCAATTCCCAGCAACCACATGGTGGCTCACAACCATCTATAATGAGATCTGGTACCCTCTTTGGGCCTGTAAACAGACAGACAGACAGAACACTGTATACATAATAAATAAATAAGGCTTTAAAAAAAAAACTCATCTGTCCCAGGCCCCACCAGGATCCCGGGCACTTGGTGTGTGAGATTTCCAGGACCTGTTCTGTGTCTTCTGGTGGCTGTGACCCGTAGCCCCGAGTCTTTGCCATTGGCTCCCAGCCTTTCGAAACAGAGTCCCCACTGAAGCCATCTCTTTTCAGTTTTGCTGATGTTCAGAAACCCCTCCCAGAGTGACAATGACAGAATTCTCCTGTCTCGACCATGAGTTGCTTTGCTGCAAGCTGCATCGTCATCCTGTACGTTCTCCTTCAAGGCTTCCTACATGCATGAGGATGGCCTCAGCTGCTGCTGTCCTCACGGCTCAGTGAATAACCAAGTGCTACAGACAAAGGCTGTAAGGAGAAGCCTTTCTCCTTAAGAACGAGGTGAGGTGCTGTCCCTCACAGTCTGGCCCAACAGCCACGTGAGTCCTGCTCGGGATCACACAGCATCCACACAGGAGGAGTCACACTTCGAGGTCACATGACCTCAGGGACAGGTGTCACACTGAGGTCATGACCTCAGGGACGGGTGTCACACTGAGGCCATCTCTGCTGCCATCTGCACTGTGCCCAGGCTACCCTGCTCACTGCATTGCTCCAGAGTGTGCAGTGGGTGCTTCTTCAGGCCGCAATACATACACTACTAGACACTTAGGAATCCCAGAAGAGACTCTGCAGCCTCAGCACTGCCCTGGGAGGGGTCACAGAGCAGGATCCTCCACATGAAACTGCCACCATCTTCCCGAGGACACCAGTTGCTTAGAGTGCCGACAGTCCCTCACAGGAGGAAGTGGAGGGCATGAGCCCTAACTGAATATGCCTTGGGGTTCCCAGGAGGTCTGTAATTCCACCTCCTGGAGAGGCTGAGGCATGAAGATCACAACTTCAAAGCTAGCCTGAGTTACACAGTGAGTTCTAGGGCAGCCTGGACTATACAGGGAGCTCCAGGCTCCAAATGAAAAGATATCAACTAGATTTTCAGGACTCTCTGGACCCCAGTGGAGCAGAACTGAGGAGGAATGTGGGTGAGAATGAGACAAACACAACTAGAACTTTGCGGGTGCCCAGGTCAGCTCTTTCTCTGACAGGAAGGGTGAAACAGAGAGGACGCCCCGTGTGGTAGTTCACACCTGCAACCCCAATACTGGGAAGGCAAAGGCAGGCAGTCCAAGAGTTCAAGGCTAGCCTGGACTACAAAACCAATCCCTTTCTTCAATAGATAGATAGATAGATAGATAGATAGATAGATAGATAGATAGATAGATAGATAGATAAATCTCAAAGTGACAGAAGGACACCTAGCCCAGGGTTGTTCTGACAATCACACCCCCTACAATGGCGCCTTCAGTTTCTCAGCCTAGAGTCTTTCAGGGAAGCCTTGGTACCCTGAAGGTGCAAAGCCCTTGAGACCTTACTTGTTTGTGCTCAGGATCCTGTCTGGGCTTACAAGCTAAGGCTACAGAGAGACAGGTCAAAGTCCTGGTAAACTTTAGAAAATGCTTTCAATAACAGATACATGAAGGCCAGTAAGTCATCTCCAAGACACTACAAGTCACTGATCAACAGCCCGACAGACTCTCAGGGCAGAGCACCGTACCTCGCTTGGCAGCTCAGAAGCAGCATGTCCCGGTTGTAGATCAGGATGTAAAGCAGCACCAGGAAGGCTTTGGCTCTGATGGCAGTGGACGGACTGTCCAGCAAACGGATGATCGTAGACACAAAGTCCTGGGGAGACATGATGGAGAAGTCAACCCAACAGTCATGGACTGCAGCGATCAAACAGGAGGTAGGCGGTAAAACCTCCTCAGCTGTGCTTGCAATCTCAGTTTGGTGCAAACCCACGAGTGCTACTATCTCACTTAAACCTGAATTTAGCCAGTGTGTGTTGACGGAAGCAATCGATTCTCACAAGGTCCCAGCTGTCAACTATTGGCCTTAATTCCTGGGCAAATGGAATTCTATTTCCTATATACCTACATCCTCTAACGGGGTCATGAGAATTGTCAGAGGAGGGGACATGGGAGGGGCTACAGGGAGGAGAAGGGAGGAGAAGGGAGGAAAAGGTGATATATTTTAATTAAAACTATGCTCAAAATTTTCAAGAAAAGGGTAAATCTTCTTCAAATGGTGAATGATTTGCTCAAATTCTGAGCTGAGTTAAAATCCAGCCCAGTTGAAAAACAAAGCCTAAAGTACATATATAACAGGAAGTGTGGCGGGAAGTAGCTGGACCAGCTGGAAGACAGCGGAGGATGAAGACCTGAGCCCCAGCAGGGGTGCAGACGTCCACACAGACATAGCTCCTGCCCTGAGCAACAGAGCCACGCCTGGTGATCTGGTGATGTGTGTGCACGCACACACACGTGAGCACACACATACACACAGTCAAGCTCCCTCCTAGTAGCTCTGCACTGGAACAATGGCTGCACAGCACAGGGACAACAAGCGAGACCCAAATGTTTGTCTCCCGTGGGGAACATCCTGGGGTTGGACAGCAGATCTGAATGCAGTCTGCAGACTAAGTACTGATACTGAATCCACGCGTGCATCTTCTCTAGAAGTTCCTAGCTTATTTTTAAGGGATAATCAGTCAGGAATTAGAATTAAAGAGGCGTACCTGCTCACATTTCAGGCAGGTGAGAAAACTTGGAGGCACGGGTTAGGAACAGACCCAGAAGCCAAGAAGCGGTAACTCCCCTAGCTCAGGGGAAGCACAGCCTTCCACACCAAGCACCAGACATATGCACACCCTATTCTAACAATCCTCACACACTAGTCACAATCCTCACACACTAGCCACAATCCTCACCACACTAGCCACAATCCTCACACACTAGCCACAATCCTCACACACTAGCCACAATCCTCACACTAGCCACAATCCTCACACACTAGCCACAATCCTCACCACACTAGCCACAATCCTCACACTAGCCACAATCCTCACACACTAGCCACAATCCTCACCACACTAGCCACAATCCTCACACTAGCCACAATCCTCACCACACTAGCCACAATCCTTACACACTAGCCACAATCCTCACCACACTAGCCACAATCCTCACCATACTAGCCACAATCCTCACACACTAGTCACAATCCTCACCACACTAGCCACAATCCTCACCATACTAGCCAGACTCACAACTTTCCTGACTTCTTCATGCCTTCCCCCAGATACAACTATAGGTTTTGGATCCCTCCTGAGTCCCTGCATGTTGTGTATATGAGTTCCCGCACTCTCTGGATCACTCCTGAATCCTTCACTCTGGATCACATCAGAGTCCTGAACTCTGAACCACACCAGAGTCCTGCACTTTCTGGACCACACCTGAGTCCTGCACTCTCTGGAGCACACCTGAGTCCTGCACTCTCTGGACCACACCTGAGTCCTGTACTCTCTGGATCACACCTGAATCCTGCACTCTCTGGATAACTCCTGAGTCCTGCACTCTCTGGATCACACCTGAGTCTCTCTGGATCACACCAGAGTCCTGCACTCTTTGGATAACTCCTGAGTCCCTGAACTCTCTGGATCACACCTGAGTACTGCACTCTCTGGATCACACCCGAGTCTCTCTGAATTACACCTGAGTCCTACACTCTCTGGATCACACCTGAGTCTCTCTGGATCACACCTGAATCCTGTACTCTACAGAGTCAATACAATCCCCCATTAAACTCCCACCACAAGTCTCTATAGACCTTAAAGAACAATACTCAGCTTCATATGGAAAAACCACAAACACAGGATAGCTAAAACAGTCCTGTACAATGAGAGAACTTCTGGAGGCATCACCATCCCTGATTTCAAGCTCTACTACAGAATTATCACAATAAAAACTGCATGGTATTAGCACAAAAACAGACAGGCGGATCAATGGAATCAAATCGAAGACCCAGGTGTAAATCTACACACCTGTGTTCATCTGATTTTTTGAGACAGAAGCCAAAATTATATATAATGGAAAAAGGAGCATATCTTCAACAAAGGATGCTGGCATAACTGGATATCAACATGTAGAAGAATGGTGCGGGAGAATTATCTGTATTCTGTCAATCATATTTTAATAAAACGCTGATTGGCCAGGCAGGCAGTATAGGTGGGAAAGCCAGACAGGAAGTAGGGGTGGAGCAAAGAGACTGGGAGTATTCTGGAAGCAGAAGCTCTCTCAGCCATTCCTGTACAGACCACCGAAGAGGCAACATGTAAGCTGTCACACTGAGAAAGGTACTGAGCCCGTGTGGCTAACATAGATCAGAATAATGGGTTAAGATAAGTCATAAGAACTAATAAGTAGCCTGACCTAATGGGCCAATCAGTTTATAACCTTATGGAGTCTTGTGTGTGATTTTCTTTGTTGCTTGCCGGCTGTTGGGGTACCGGGCGGGACGGAAACCCCAACAAGCCAGCCCTCATGCTACAGAAGAATGCAAATATATCCATATCTACTACCCTTCACAAAACTCAAGACCAAGTGGATCAAAGACTTCAATATAAATCCAATTACACTGAACCTGATAGAAGAGAAAGTAGAAAACATCTTTGAAGGCTTTGACACAGGAGATCACTTCCTGAATATAACCCCAGTAGCACAGTCACTAAGATCAACAGTTAATAAATGGGACCTCCTGAAACTAAAAAGCTTCTGTAAGGTAAAGGACAATGTCAATAGCACAAAATGGCAGCCTACAAAACAGGATAAGATATTCACCAACCCCACATATGACAGAGGGCTGATTTCTAAAACATAAAAAGAACTCAAGAAACTAGACATCAAAAAACCAAATAATACAATAAAAAATGGGGTACAGATCTAAACAGAGAATTCTCAACAGAAGAATCTGAAATGGCTGAGAAACACTGAAAGAAATGTTCAACATCCTTCATCATCAGGGAAATACAAATCAAAATAGCTCTGAGATTCTATCTTATGCTTGTCTGAATGGCTAAGATCAAAAACACAAGTAACAGCTCATGCTGAAGAGGATGCAGAGCTAGTTCCCAGCTAATATCCCTAGCAACAGTGGGTCTGCAGCCTGAACCGGCCATCCCCTGTGACCAGGCAAGACTTCCACGGGAGGGATTGGCACACCAACCCAGCTATATAACCTTCAAATCACAGTGTTTCCTGCCAGTGGGATGTGCTGGGAGAAGGGTGGCACAGAAACTGTGGGTGTCTGGTCCAGCCTGAGACCCAGGAGAGGGAGCCCACCCCTGACATTGCCTAGAGTGCCAGGACCCAGAGGCTGGGTGATCCAGAGACCAAACGGCTGCGGAGGAAAGAAACATCAATGTAGGATGCCTCACAACATTGTGCCGCACTCACAGACTGGTGCCCAGCCCCGTAGTCAAGAGAGAGGCTCCATCCAGGAACCGACGGAAACAGATGCAGAGACCCACAGCCAAACATTAGGCTGAGCTCGGGGAATCTTGCAGAAGAGGGGGAGGAGGGATTATAGGAGCCAGAGAGTCAAGGACATCACAAGAAAACCCACACAATCGACTAACCTGGCCCACAGAGGCTGAACCGACAACCAAGGAGCCTGCAAGGGACTGACCTAGGCATTCTGCACGTATGTTACAGTTACGTAGCTTGGTCCTCTCATGAGACACATAACAGTGGGAACAGGGGCTGTCTCTGACTCTTTTATTGGCTTTTGGGATCCTATTCATCATAAAATTTTAAAAATGTATGAACTCACAATCTGCATGCTTTTCTATTAATAATATTGGTGATAAACTTAGTAAACTTTTAGTAACCATAGGGATTTTTGAACAAGACTCTTTTTACCCCATCCCCCACCAAAACCCACGGAAAGGGATACCTATAAGGTGGCCTATGTGATGAGGGAGAATTATCTGTATTCTGTCAATCATATTTTAATAAAACGCTGATTGGCCAGGCAGGCAGTATAGGCGGGAAAGCCAGACAGGAAGTAGGGGTGGAGCAAAGAGACTGGGAGTATTCTGGAAGCAGAAGCTCTCTCTCAGCCACTCCTGTACAGACCACCGAAGAGGCAACATGTAAGCTGTCACAATGAGAAAGGTACGGAGCCATTATGGCTAACATAGATCAGAATAATGGGTTAAGATAAGTTATAAGAACTAATAAGTAGCCTGACCTAATGGGCCAATCAGTTTATAACCTTATGGAGTCCTGTGTGTAATTTTTCTTTGTTGCTTGCCGGCTGTTGGGGTACTGGGAGGGACAGAAACCCCAACAAGCCGGCCCTCATGTTACACCTATGCCACCTTTTATCTCAAGAGGGGAGAACATCACGGTCCCTACCAATGATCTTAGCTTCAGCTGAACACAGATCTTTTGTCTTTTCTACCAATTAGGCCAGGACCCAGGGCTGGTGAGGCCACTGAACACCCAAGGCGTAGATGCCACACAGTTATGAAGAGTGTCCAGAGACAAGGGGCTACACTGCACGAGGCTGTGCCTTCCTGCATGGATTACTATTTCTTCCAGCCCAGTGAAACTTACCCAGCCAGGGGCTGTTTTCCCTAAACAGTCAGAGGTGACTTGGTGACAGAGGGCAGCTGGGTGCTTGAATCCATTCCCAGCCAGAGGTGCGGAGAGTTACATTACCATCTTCCTTGTTCAGATGTAGATGGCAGAGAGAGAAGCAGAATTAGAGACAGAGGGGGAGACAGAGAGAAAAGAGCAGTTAAATGAATACACAGAAGACAGGTAGGCAGGCGGACCGGCAGG